GGATAGAGAACTGTTAGTTCTATCTTCATATTCAATAGCACGCTTATCCGATTAAAAACGCCTTAGAAATACGCAAAATACTAAGAAACTTTGTGCAAGTGGCCGGAATTACCCCATCTGACTCTACATCTGTTTAGTATGTCATTAATGTATTTTATTTTATAAATATAAAAACATGTTCTTGGCAGCTGTACTTCACTTTCTCTATTCTTCTATGTGTTCGAAACATATCCAAATCTTATAAACAGTTTCTCAAACAAGTACCAATAAACGCTCATTCTTCTCCCGATATTCTTCATATTTTGGAGTGATACTCCTATTTTTCCTTTATGCTTTTTCTGTGTACAGATTTTTAGTTTTAGCTTTGTTTCACATAAAAGACGAAAAAGAATGTGTACACGTTCTAATTCATCTAATTAGAATAACAAACTCTCTCAGGTGAACTATACGATCACCACGAAGTGATTTTATATCACTACTTTTACATCTACGGGAATTCTCGACGATTCTGATATACACGCATTTTTTCTGGCGGTTTCTTCTTCATGACTTGAAACTCCTGCTTTTTGTCTTCGGTATTCCACTTCATGATTTTTTAAAAAATATTTTTGCTACGATTCTCAATTTCACGTATCATTACACGTTTGTTTTTATATCACCTTGTATATGTCATGTTCAAAGAATAGAATAAAAATTCCATTTCTGATGAACCAGAGCAGATGTCAAAAAGAGAAAAGGATGGATTGAAGACGAGGTAGAGAAACGTGTAAATCAAAGCTTCATAAATCAAAGATAAGAAAAACCATTGACACAATAATTCTACTAAGAGCAAATGAGAAGAACGGTTATTAGCGAGTCCAGACTTGAGCAAAAGACAATATATGCAAACCGCTCATTTAACTGCAATTTTTATTCAAATCTCTTGCATTTGCTCATTACATTAAAAATTGAAAAGGTTATATATATATATATATCACAAAACAGAAATAAAATTAGTTTTGTCTGTCTTGTTACATATCACACAAGAAAGTTGAGCAATCTCACAACTATTATCCCATAAATTCTCTCGGATCTCCTTTTGTTATTGACGACTTTTTAAATTTTAATGAACCATACTTCATAGGATAATTTATTCGTCCATCACCAGGATTTGATTGGTCTTGTTGATCATCAGGTACGCCAGACATCATTTTGTCGTCACGCGAGTGATATTGATTATTTTGTAAAAAACGTTCGATTGGAAAATACAATGGTAAATCATTCTCCGTTGTTATCCATCTCGCACTAAATTTTAGAAATAAACATAAAGTAAATCAATTTATATATAACAAATCTTAATTAAATAGTTATTCGATGTATATGTTATCTATACGGATATAGTAGACTGACAGATATTTTACGGTCGAATTTTTTTATGGTCTTTTAGCCCATCAAACTCTTTATATATTTCCATTTTAGACTAACTCTTTTTACATAGATGGTAACAAAGTCATAATGAAAAATTATACAAGATCTAGAGATATCATACGCACAAAAAGACACCTTAGAATATAAAATTTTTTAAACGTTCTTGAAATGCAAATAATTTTAAGACTAAACGAGATAGTCATTTTTGTCTCTTCCATGTGTAACTATTGCTCTCAGATCTGCACTGTTCATTTCATAATTTGGCTCTGAATACGTACAGAGTCACAGATATTTTATAAAATAATCCAGTTGTGCTAAACTTTTTTTTTATACATTTTAGAAAATGGTTTTCAATACTAAATAGAGCCGGATCAGAAGGACTAAGAGTCGTTCACATCTCTGATGTAGGTAAAAATAGACTCATAGAAACTTTTAGCGACGTCATAGAAATTTATCGATTACAAATATTTCATATTTAATTAACACTATTTTGGTTGAGTTTCTTTTTTTTCAAACTTCAAAGAATTTTAATGATATCATCACTAAACGTTAACACCTCATTTTCAAGGAATAAAAATAGATTACCACAACTATAGTGTACATTAAACACCGAAGATATAAGCGATTGTCCGTTTCTCTCTTTATCTTCTTAATGAACTTTCTGAACTATATCTGGCCTTGAAACTTTCAGAAAATAATTTACAAAATTTGCAATTATCTTCTGCAAACCTGAAGTCAGATAATGCTCGTGTAGACTGAATTTTCGATTCTTTGGCAGAGAATCTTAAAAAATATCTATCGCATCAACAACAAAAACTTGCCAAGTGTCGTTACTTGACTTGCTTCAGTCAAGTACTTAGGCAAGCCAGTCACTCTTTTCTTTTGCATTGACCAGTTGTATATAAACACCACAATATCCATCGCTTTACACTTATAAAATAAACTTATATATTTTCTACTGAGTTGAACAAACTTAGTAGCCGTGCATGTATTTGCACTACAAAAGTAGAGTATAGTTCCAGAATATGTATAAAATACAAAATAAAAATAAATAGAACAAGTATTTGATCGAATTTTTTCAAGTACAGTTACTTGCATTGTATTAACCAAGTACATACATTTTACTTGTTAAGTACCGTCTCAAGCACTTGACAAGTAAATTTACTTGGAAAAGTCCACATTACTTACCCCAAGTACTTGGCTCAAGTATATTCACTAGTCTGTGATTCTGCATGTGTTCAGAGCAAAATCATGAAATGAACAGTTCCGACAGCTAAGACTTTTCTCAATAGAAAGTTGACTGTACAAACCCTAATCCAACGACTATCATTGCAAGCACCAATAATTGATAGTAGTAATACGATGATGTCATTTTCATTATGATAATTTTATTCTTATAACGGATGATGTCTGTTCTAGAAATAGAAAACAGGAGAAATGAGAGACATCGTTGTTAATATCTCATTTATAGTGTTCGAAAAGTATAAAAAAAGTAGAAATATTACTGCAAATAACAGTTGGCGGAAAGAAATTTTACTGAAATATTAATGATACCTGTAAAATTTAGTTTCAAATCGTTTTAAATTCTATTCTGCTTCGTGAAATCCATTACGTATAACAATATTTATAGAACGGTAGTTACATGCCTCTGCAGATTTCTTGTCAGAATACTCCATTATCTACAACGTTTTTCAATCCGAGTACTAAACTCATTCGACTAGGACGATAAGTTTTCGACTGGAGAAAACTTTAATCATTCTCATACTCAGTTTTCGATTCAATTCATAGTATTTTCTATACGGCGACAGTGTTCAAATTTTCACGTCGAAAAATTACTGTGAATTTTCTCACTGATAAAGCAAAATAAAAAAAACAGCAATTCATACTCTCAAAACTCGTTTAATGGTGGTTCTAATGAAGTAAATATATCGGCTTCATATCTTCATAAAAAACTAGATATGTTTGCAAAATTGTTTATGGGCTTTTCTTCGTTTTTTGATTAGACAGATCTATGATAGAGCAGATGGTTGATGTATTTTAAAAAGAAATGTCATAGACTTACAAGAGCCTACTCAATAAAGTGGAAGCAGCATTATTGCCCTTTTTTCAGGAAAAAATGTTAAGATTCTGGACATTTCTAGCAAATTTATTTCCTCAAAACAGTTTGACGAATAAAAGTTTTCATTAAATATAACACATTTTCTCTGTAGGTTAACTTCTGAGAGTAAATATGTGTCAAGTCCAGTTCCATTCAATCTGCATCGTCAGTAGTCGATTTTTACATTATCGCGATCGCTTGACTCGGTCGCATTACAAACCGTTTTTCTAAAATTCGCCAATTTGATTAAATTATATCTCCCAATCCTTCATTTTTGATCTTAGTGCTAAAGATGGAAGCAAAAGGCAGATCAAAGGCACATTTATAACAGCGAAACAATTTTTTTCTCATAAACTTGTATGTTCAAATCTCATTTTCTTCTGCTATTCATCTCTCTAGAAGTAAGATAATTACAAAATTAGAAGTAATCATCTCGTCGTCGTGGATGTGTGAGAAGATTGTGAGTTTTTGTGACGAGTGAAAAGAAGAAAAACAAAAGTTATGAAAAATGCCAGTTTTGTTCTTCATGTGGACGTATTGGTACCAATGTTGACTTGTTATATTTGAAGTTCGTTTTTTTCTTTTTCTTCGTTTTCAATAAATTCTTTGAATAAATTTTCTTTAAACCTTCTAAGAAGTTCTATAGAGTCGTATGGGGTAATTCCGGCCACTTGCACAAAGTTTCGTAGTATTTTGCGTATTTCTAAGCCGTTTTTAGTCGGATAACTGAGTATAAAGATAGAACTAACAGTTCTCTATCCGACGTAAAAATCCCCTAAAAATTCCTCTCACTTTTCGAGCGGTATTCAAAGGAAGACACGGACCTTCAAACTGGCCCGAATTCCTCCAGATGGGGTAATTCCGGTCGATAAGCTATTTTGCATGGGGTAATTCTGGCCGGTCCATTCAAATACATCGAGTTTAGTTTAGTCAAATACAAACCTCGGCTAATTCAGAGATGGACGAGTACGCAGATTCTCGAGTAAGAGTATGAGTACGAGTATCTTCTAAAGAGTACTCGAGTACGAAACTTTTTAAAAGACGAAAATACTCATGAAAAAAGGTTTAGCTGCCTAACAATAGTCATTTTCAATATCTTTCTGGCTATCAGTTGAAGGAGAGTTAGGTTATAGTCTTAGTTTTTTTATTTTACTGTTTATTATTTATTTGCTTTACTTTATCTGAACACACAAGAATGAAACATTATTCTAGAAGATCGTTATTACATTTTAAAAATGTTAACACGCATAACGTTGATGCTGATAACTTTGAACGATGTGGGCGGATGATAAAGCCGCTTTGAGAAAAAATTCTCTCGATTGGTACGGACGTCGCAGGGACAGTAAAATATTTTAGAGCTAATTTTGATAGATGAGGATATGATTCATGTTTCGTTAAAATAAGATCATTGTCCATGCTCTGTTCTTTACTAAAATTTGCTAGTTCTTCTGATACAGTTGAATTTATATTTAATATTCTTTTAGATGGATTTTCAAGATAAGGAAATAATTATAATAATATACACATAAAAGTAGAAGGAAATAGCCTGATTTGTTCTTATTTTATTTATAGGTTATTGTATGTTAAGTCATTTGTCTTAAATTTTTAATGTCTGAAGAAGATACAAAATTCGGAAGGCCAAAAATTCTTTGTACAGCATTACATATTAGTGAAAAATTTCAAGTACTCGAAAATACTCGAATACTATATTTTTAAGTACTCGTAAAGAAAAGTCACGAGTAAGAGTAAGAGTACTGAAGATTTTGTACTCAACTATACTGGAGTGCCCATCTCTGGGATAATTAACGATAAGTCCCAATCAAGTAGAAATTACACCAGTTTGAAACTCTTCCATACGAATTTGACATTATCAGCACCTAATCTAATCAAGTTAATTAAAATACGATAAGACGTGGTTAGATTTCTGATTTTTTCATTTCTTGATTGGGGTAATTCCGACCTGTTAGCTATTTTTCTTGGGGTAATTCTGGCCGGTCCATTCAAACACATGGAGTTTTCTGAAAAAAACGTCTGATGCTTGTCAGAATCTGACAAATTCTTCAGGTAAAAGGTATTCGTCATGTTATTACCTACAACGTATGTGAAATTTGCATCTCAACAGCCCAAGATCTATGATCTTAAATATTTTGATGTAATTTTACACATATTGTGGAAATGAATTTACTCAGTATTCTTACATATGCTCATTAATTATGAGCAATTCAAGGAAATTACAATAGAACTCTCACGCTAGTTTACAGAGAATTTGATTGAAATAAACACAGACAGCAGCGACTTATCAACAAAATTTTGCATACGGAATGGTCGTTATAGTCTAAGTACCTTTAGCGTATTTATCTTTATCTTTATCTCGCATATATGGCATTAGGATACATTCGGAAGAGAACAGACATCAGAAGAAAGGAATAAAACACGTGTACACTGTAATCTTGAATTAATTTCTAGTTTATAGAAAATCAACCGAAAAATCGCCGGGGATTTTCTAGTTTATAGAAATTCCTCGACGAATTTCCAGCTTTCTGGGAAATGTTGATTTTCTACT